GGAACCCTACAGAACCTGAAAAGACCCTCATGTGTGATGAATGCAGTAAGGTCTCTGCTATCTTCATGTAAAGGTAACTGGTGGTATGCATTAGCAAGATCTATTGTAGAGAATACCTTTGCACCTTGTAGGTTAGCAAATAATTCATCCACATGAGGCAGGGGGTAACAGTCCAAGATGACGGCTTTGTTTGGTTCACGGAGGTCAGCACACATCCTAATGCCACCATTTTTTCATCCTGTGACAACAATGGGTGAGACCCAAGGAGATGCATCAATCTTTTCAATGACGCCAGCTTTCAGCAAGTGATCCAGCTCAGCAAAGACAGAAGCCCTGACTGCAAATGGCAGGCGGTGCAGTTGTTGCCATACTTGTTTGACAGTAGGGTCAATCTTCACTTTATGCACAAAACTGCGTGCACAGCCGATTTCTGAAGCCATAGGGATGCAGGTAGCTGTAGCATTTGTGTTCAGTACAGGAGCAGGTGAAGCAGCACTAGAAGATGGGGGAAGAACAGCAGTTGCTTTAATGCAAACTTTTAAGGCACCCATCAGGTCTCTACCAAGAAGAGCTGTACCAGTCCTCACGACATAGAAATTGGATGATGCCGTTGAGTCTCCTCTAGTAACAGTAGCTTGTAAGCAGCCTAGCACAGGAATGGTTTTCTTTGTGTATGTCACCAGTGAAACAGTAGGTGGGAGGAGAGGTATGTCACTAAAGCACTTGTTATAAATGTAATGTGGCAATATAGACACTGTAGAACCTGTATCCACAACCAGTTCTATTTATTTAGCAATTGAAGCAGGGGTACTAGCATTGACTTTGCATAGTAGTTTCTTTGTTACATGGCACAAGTCCCTCAGATACAAAATAGTTGTTTTGGGGAGGCATACTTCACGTACGTCACCAGTTTTGGATGAACAACAAACACAAGCAAAATGTCCAACTTTATGGCAGGCCATACAGGTTGCTTTAGCTGCTGGACACTGAGGAAAGTTAGTTAAATGTTTGTCTGAACCACACCTGAAGCAGTTATGAGATGCAGCAGTAGCATTTGCAGGTTTACTCTGGCGTATTTGTGGCTTATGTGTCTTTCTAGACACCTCTTGATGGGGTCTTACAGCATGAACTGCAGCACTGTCCGGTGCTGATATCATTTTAGCTTGAGTAACTGCAAGTTCCACCTGTGTTGCTACAGTTACAGCTTTATCAAGCGTCAAGTCTGTTTCAAGCAAAAGCCTTTCTCTAATGCTGGAGTCAGTGAC